AAGCTCGGAGAATGAACCTTCACCCTCAGGAGTAGGAAGAGCTAAAAATGTCAGTTTTTCTTTTTTACATCATTCTGCGGGACTGCTGATCAGCACATTAATCAAGTTCAAAACAGACATCATCCTTCTGTCTTTGAGAAGAAGAGGTTCCTTCATCTCTGAGACTTCAAACCGGCCCTTGAATTTGTCATTTTTTGGAGAGCCCTGATTGAAGCCATTAACCCTTTGCTGGCCCCAGTCCCAAGGTTTCTTTGCCTTTTCTATTTTAACCTCTTGTCAGCAACCTCCTCCGTCTCATTATACCGTCTTCCATGGGAACGAAAATCTCTTTTCCAGCAAGTTGGAAATACCCCTTTATCTAGCAGTGCCTGGGTATTATTACTTCAAAGCAGGTGGAGTGAGGGGAAAAAAGAAGTATGGAGAGAAGAATAATGCCAGAATGTTAAATACTAGTTACCGCTCAATCACATTCCTCTGTATACCTTGTTACACGTACACACCCACACCTTTCCTGTAGAAGAAAGCACACAAAAGTATATCTTTGTATTTCCCTGACAGGAAGCCAGCAGCTTTGGGGAAGAGTTACCAGCAAATTAGGGCAACGGCAGAGGTAAATGAAGTTTTGAAAACGCCTTCCACAGCACAGCAATCCCACTCTGTATTAAAGTGCCGTTAAATTATTGCATAGGAAAGTTTGGGAAAGCTGGATTACAGATCCATTATGTAAATCATTCAATTTCTTTTCTTACATCCACATTAGCCCAGAGCAGGGACATTGAAGTAGGGGATCCTAAAACATCAAAATGAAGCCTATGACCGTGCAATCAAAGTCTCTCCCATTTTTATGTGTGTCTTGTGGAATGATAAACTGATAATTATAACCGCTCATGCCGAACCATCCCCTCTGCCTTCCCCCCACCACTGGTCCACAAAGCCAGAAACGCTGGGGAACTCTGTATTTACAGAAAAATAAAAATCTGCCCCCTTCAACCATTTTCTGTATATCAGACCTGATGTGTCAGGTACAAGGAATCAGGATCACAAGTTAAGGTCAGCACTAAATTAGTGCTAGATAAGAGTTGACAGAATTCTGAAGCGGGCGGGGCTGGACTTGAATGCTTGTGGCAATATAATGACTCCAGACTGATAACTCTCTTAACTCTGCCTCCAGGCTCTGTCCCTTCTTCCCCTACAATATGATAGGTTTGGTGATTCTAAAACATTTCATGAAAAGCAGGGAAAACCCAACCCTATAAACAAGCAACGAGCTATATCTTCCTCCAAACTACTGCCCCTGGGCAGAGTGTGTAATCTTGTGGTATTTCCTCAAAAGAGATCTCTCTCTTCAGCTCTCCACCCAACCTGAATGAGTTGGCACACCAGGCTTTGAGGAACATTTCATTATTTCTCATGGTTCTTTTCCAAGCCTACCACTGTGACTTGGCACGTGTTGTTTGGGAAATCATTGATATAAGCATGTTCAACATAGAGAAATAAATAAAAGACTCTTTCTGGAACATCTGCTTTAAGGCATCACTCTTTTTTGCCAAGAAAATGTCTCTCCTAGTTTTGAAATGTAGATGTATCTTGAACACACAGAGAGAATAAGAGGACACAGCAGGCATGATCCAAGTTCTTCCTAGTTTCAATTTTATTAAAGTGGATTTTCATCTATATCGCTATATCTATCTATCTATAAATTTTGGGTAAGGGATCACTTCTGAAATGTTGAAGCCATGTTATCTCAGGGTGTTTATTTATTATCCTGCCTATTTTTTTATAAATAACTCAAAGTAGCTCCTTTCTCCTCCTATTTTCCTCACAACCACCACCCTGTAAGGAGGGTTAAGTTGAGTGACAGGCCCAAAGTCACCCAGTTGGCTTTCATGCCTAAGGTGGGACTAGAATTTACAGTCTCCTGGTTTTTAACCTGATGCCTTAACCACTAGACCAGGGGTAGGCAACCTTGGCTCTTTTATGACTCGTGGACTTCAACTCCCAGAATTCCTGAGCCAGCCATGCTGAGGGGAAAGGGAAAGGTTTCCAAGCTGAGTCATGCTGGTTTAGGAATTCTGGGAGTTGAAGTCCACGAGTCATAAAAGAGCCAAGGTTGCCTACCCCTGGGTTAGGGAGAGAGTGAAGTGTGATCCTTGATGGACTCTATTCACTAGGTCAGGGGTAGGCAACCTTGGCTCTTTTATGACTCGTGGACTTCAACTCCCAGAATTCCTGAACCAGCATTGCTAAGCATGGAAACCTCTCCCTTTCCCCTCAGCATAGCTAGCTCAGGAATTCTGGGAGTTGAAGTCCACGAGTCATAAAAGAGCCAAGGTTGCCTACCCCTGCACTAGGTACTATGTTAAATACCTCACAAAAATGCTTGATTCATGCCTCAATCTGAATCAAACTCCCAATCTTTGAAGGATCTTTTGGAATTTAAGTGACAATAGGTCAGGAAGCAGGAAGGTTTCCTCTGGGGCTGCTTGTATTAGAGTATCCTAATTGGCCATTTAGAACATCAATCTCTTCTCATCTATGGAAATTCTCAGTCATCCAGATCATGGTTGTTCCAAAGGTGCTTTTTCAAAAGGCAACTGGACTTTGTTTTTCCTTGCAGACATTTCACTTCTCATTCAAGAGGCTTCTGAACTCGTCAGAACTGAGGAAGCTTCTTGGATGAGAAGTGAAACATCTTCAAGGAAAAACATAAGTCCAGTTGCCTTTTGACAAAGCATCTTTGGGATATCAGTCTCTTCTTTTTGGGAGAGTATGGTTTTGTGATGTGCATTCCAGAGGAGCAAACAACAGTGAAGTCTAGATAATTTGTGTAGGAAAAAGAGTGTTAAGATGGCTCCTCCCTAGTAGTTCTCATGCATGTTTAATGGTCTAGTGCAGGGGTAGGCAAACTTGGCTCTTTTATGACTCGTGGACTTCAACTCCCAGAATTCCTGAGCCAGCCATGCTGAGGGGAAAGGGAGAGTTTCTAAGCTGAGCCATGCTGGCTCAGGAATTCTGGGAGTTGAAGTCCACGAGTCATAAAAGAGGCAAGGTTGCCTACCCCTGGTCTAGTAGTCTGTTTTGGTTTGGCAAGATTTGTGCCTACTGTAGGTGAGGAACAATAAAGGAAACTGCTTAGAAGAACCTCAGCGTGTCTTATTTTTTGGAGCCTGAAAGGTTTTCAAGGTTTGCGCATCTTGAGACTGCTGCTCACTGTTCATGTCAAGATTCTTCATGCAGCAATTAACATAGCCTTGGCTAAACTGCATGCTGTGTTAAATGAAGGCTTGGAGAACTTAGAAGTGGCTTTTTGACTAGAAGCAATGATGGACTTTAAAAGTTCCAGCATGCAGTTGATCTTTGGGTGGCAAATGCTTAGGTCTTCACAAGCAAAGATGATTAGGGGACTGGAGGCTAAAGCATATAAGGAAAGGCTGCTGGAATTGGGTATGTCTAGTTTAACAAAGAGAAGGACGAGGGGGGACATGATAGCAGAGTTCCAATATCTCAGGGGCTGCCACAAAGAGGGAGTCAATCTATTTTCCAAGGCACCTGAAGGCAGGACAAGAAGTAACAGATGGAAATTAATCAAGGAGAGAAGCAACCTAGAACTAAGGAGAAACTTCCTGACAGTTAGAACAATTAACCAGTGGAACAACCTGCCTCCAGAAGTGGTGAATGCTCCAACACTGAAAGTTTTTAAGAAGAGACTGGACAGCCATTTGTCTGAAATGCTATAGGGTTTCCTGCCTGAGCAGGGGGTTGGACTAGATGACCTCCAAGGTCCCTTCCAACTTTATTATTATTATTATTATTATTATTATTATTATTATTATTATTATTATTATTATTATTATTATTATTATTATTAACGTTTTTCCTGTTATTTACGCATGGCTTAAGGTGGGATGCTTTGGATATATTAAAACATCTGTCAGACTCTCAGAATCACCAGTCCACTTAATTTACAGGTTACAGACTCGGAAAAACTTCTCCATACTAATGTATCCTACCTACCTATCAAGGCAGTAAAAGCAAAGCTGGCAATAAGTAGGAAGAAAAGGGAAATTATCTTAAAATCTGCAGAGCAGTTGAGAAATTTGGCTACAATTCTTTTGAGACAATAGCACTGATGGTTGTTCCTGCCCAGAAAGTAATTTTTCCCTTATGGCTACCAAACATCCAAACATTTAAATTCAGAAGTTGAATTTAATGTTCAGTTGAGTCAACCTCCACCCTTCCTTATTAATCCTAATTAATCCCTTTAACCTTAGAATGTCAGATTCTAAAACAAGCTGGACTTTCAACTGAGACTTACAATATTAAAATATGAGAAAAGGAAACTCTTTTGACCCAACTAGTTATGGAAAGCATTGCCTGGAATCAGTTCTGATTTGGGAACTGAAGATTCCCAGGAGATTTGATAAGTTTCCAACAAAAAAAAGTTTGCAATTTATCAAAGAGAGATTCAGCCTAGAACTAAGGAGAAATTTTCTTACAGTGAGAACAATTAACAAGTGGACCTGTCTCTTCTCTTCCACTTCCAGCACATAAATATATAATGTCCTTGTGAAATCAAGATTGTAGAATGCTAGAAAAGAATCACTACCCAGTAGCATGTATTACGGTATCTATAGCAAGACTTTGAAGCAGACTTCAAACAATTACCTTTATTTTTGTGCAATGATGTTTATTTCAAATCAAAGGGACAAAAAGCTACAGTGGTACCATTCAGTATACCCGGCAAGCTTCAAAACCAAGTTGTAGTACAGTATGAATCAGTTGTTTTATTTCTCAAAGTGAAGTCCTTAGGAAAATCAACTAACATGTATCTTTCCTTTTGGAATAATTGAGCTCCCAAGTCCACTGTGATACAACTTGGAAGACAGGAACATTTCAATCATGTTAGCTTCAGTTTTTCCCCCAGAGAAACCACAACTGGTTTTGTACACCACCCTTTGTATTTCAGGAACAGCATGCCACCATCTGGACTAAATACTAAGTCACTGAGTTTCTTTGGGAGATTCTGGTTTTAGAGTTTCCACTTCCCTTTCATTAGGTTTTGCAGGCTCCGGGTCATCTGAGGTATTCTTGAGTGCAGGAACAAAGGGTCCTACAAGCCAGGACAATGGAGTGTTCTGCAGCACATAGTCCAAGATATCATCTACATACTTCTGGGCCATGCCGACCGTCTTCTTGTTTTGAATCAAAAGGCTGCTAGAAAGATCTTTGAAAGAATTAACACCAGTCAATGTAGCTTGAAGTTCCTCAATGCTATGGAGAGCCGACTCAATATTCTGCTGAAAGATACCAGGCAGACCTTGGATGCTTCCCATCAAGTTCATGTATGCCATCTGCAATTGTTCAGTGATGTGGTAACTCGTGGCCAAGGTATGAGATTCCATCTGTGAAAAGAAATGAACCAATAAGTATTTTAGCTTCTCAAGAATGATCTTACAATTATTACATCAAGAGCTCATGTTTTCCTGGTCTCAACTATGACTTTAATCCAGCCGTACCTGCTGGAGCTTTTCCTTTTCTTCCTGGGATATCTGAAGGATATCTTGCTTGGTATGTTCTATCTAGTGGACAAAACAAGGAATTGTTTTAGTACAGCTTTTGTTTAGAGCAATACAATTTGCTTTGCCATCAGAAAGATAATGACCAGAGCAAGCTATCCATCCCCTTGCAAATATCTCAAAGCACTAAATAAATAAAAGAATACAAATGTTTATCAGTTGGAGTCTCCACTCCAAACTTAAACGAATGCAAACACATAATTTTTCTGCCATTTTTCTGCTTTTTCTCTTTGAATGGGATCTGGCAACCATGATTTGCCTTGAACAAGTCACAAAAATACCAATTTGGGGATTAAAGACAAAACAGGGCTGCTACTTTCCAAATGAAAAAAAAAAGGGGGGGGGGCAAATCATTTTGTTGTACGAAAAGTCAAGTTTAGATATCTAATCTTAAGCTTCGTATTCCACCATCTTTCTAGTACAGCTCCCCTTTTGCTTTCTTGTTTCCATTAAATAAATCATTTCCCATATACATAGCAGGGTAAGCTTATGTCTTATAGCTAGCTTATAGGCTAGTTTATGTCTCAGCACATCCCAAATGTCTAAGCTCCTTTCCAGATGTGTCACACAAAGTTTAACATTCTATTGATCTGGCAGAAAAAAACATGTGTTCTTTTTGTGTATTTACTGTCCCTGTGCCCCAACAGCACGAGTTGCTTATACCACAAACAGAACATAGTTAAGGAGGGGTGGGCTGAAGAATATGTCATTCCATATTCAATAAAAAAAAATGGGTGTGGAGCTCAATTCTCCTACCTGCCCAATGGCTTGATGTAATTGGCTGAATGTATTTTGGATGTTTTCCCTGGCAGCTTCCATTTTCACCACAGCATACTTGTAGGCCCGATGCTGGAGTTTAGTTGACAGGGAACCAAGCTGCACAAAATAACCTTGGGATTCAGGTGGTAACTCGATCCCTTCTGATGTAGATTGTGCTATTTTAGCTGTGGAGTAGAGTTAAACACGTTACTTCTCTGAAACTTCTGCTCAGGCTTCAACCCATGGAAGCCATTTTCTTTTCCAAGCATGGCCTTTGAAAACCGCAATGTTCACAAAAGATAATTGAGTGAGGCTGGGAGTTTTGCAAAGGCTGAATTCCTATGAGCAAAACTGATCTCAGAGAACTAGATTGGAGATGTTGGAGTAAAACTCCTCGCTTACCAAGTTCTTCCTCCGTCATTGGTAGATAGTGATCCAACAACTCTTCCGATTTCTCTAGCACTGCTTCTACCCCACTTATGGCGAGTTTACTCATTCTTGTGTCTATGATCATCTCTTTGCCATCTTGTACAACTTTGGCTACTGCTTCTTTTACATCCGCTACTTTGGAGGACACCAGTTCCTGTGTCTCAGAGATAACCTACGGAGATACCATTAAACAAACAGCAATATTCAGTGTCTTGGGAACTGGACTAATGTAATGCTAACCATTATTTTCTTAAGAATTACTCTGTGTAGGCAAAAAAATCAACATTGGCAGAATGCTATATTTGAAAAACAAGCAGTATGTCCCTCTATTGCTTTTTAGACTCAATTTACTTTATGGTTAACTCCACCAGCTGCTACTCTGTTCCAAGCTATCAGATCAAATCAAATAAATCAATACAATGCTGAAATCAGATTTCACACAAGTTCTCATCCCCTGAGCAAGCGGCTTCTAATTTTATATCCCAGTGCATTTCTGAATCTTTTCCTCATGCTGTTGATCAGAAATAAGAACATTGGATTACTATACCCAGAATCCCCAATGTAAGGCAATTTTAAGACATGTTGGAGTTGCACTCCCAAACCTCTAGAGGGCATCAGATTTATCACCCAATCAAAGATGATATTAAAAGACAGAAGTAAAAATAAGATACTCAGTTTACCTGGTCAGCTGTTTGATGGAGGAACGGCAGGTTCTCTTCCAGTTTATCCAAACCCTTGGAGGCATAGTGGCTAGCTGCTGAAACTACAGAGATGCAGACTTTAGCTTACAGGTTGCAAGTCTTTTGCCATAACATCCAAAAAGTATTAACTATTTTTAGAATTCTAATCACTAAATAATTGGTTGCTCCAACTGAATGTTCCTTTTTCCCTCCTCATTACGTTCCATTTAAATTTCTCATGGTATAAATTTCTACAAATTAAAATGTGTTGCACTTTACAGAAAAATGGTTCCAGGAGGATATTCATTTATTCATTCCTTTGTTTTTAGATTTATATGTTGCCCATCCCACAAAAAGGTGACTCTGGATGGCTTACAAACATTAATGTGGACCTCAGAGTCCTATTTCCATCCTTTCAAGAAATGTCGTATCCTAACACACAGTTCCTACAATTCGGAAACCATCAAAAGCATTACTGAAATGACAGAAATTACAACACCCATGGGTAAATACAGATTCTCTGGGGAAACCTCCATACTCAGTAGGAGAAGAGAGGAAGAGATAACCAATTCCTAGAGTTGGGAAGGATCGCTGAAGTTCTCAAATCTTTCTGGTCAATGCAGAAATCCACATTAAAGGGGGCTATCTAATCTGCCCTGGAGGACGCCCCAATGGAGTCAACCACTTTTCTGAGTTATTGGTTTCACTGTTGAGATTTATGCAGGACTTCAACTATGCATACATACCAATAGAATTCCTCACATTACATAAGTAATCCAGTCCCAAAATCTACAGTAAAAATAAGCCTGTGAGGTGCCCCAAAGACTTGCTGTCTCTTTGTACAAAGAACATCTTGAGAATGAGGGCAGTGTGTTACCTTGGGGCTCAAGCTTACTCAGAAAAGGTTGAGCGCTACTCATAGCCATCTCAGAGACATGCTTCACACTCTTCTCTGCCAAATCCAGGACTACTTTAACATAGGGGTGGTTGTCTTTAGTTGAGGTATAAACGGAAGCTGCCATTTCATAAGTGGAGCTAACAAGAGGTAGGTTGCTGGCTCTTGAAAGAACATCCTTTGGGATATGATGGGAGATAAAGTTAGAAAATAAATCCAGTACTGTGGCTAATACCTATAAAGACAAGGTTTTCTTGAATAACCTCCACCTGTGTTGGGACTATAGCTCCCAGCCTGTATAACCAGTAACCCTTTTAGCAGAAAATTCTGGAATTTGTCATTTGAAAACCATAAAGGCACACAATTGATGAAGGCAGGTTTGGACATAATTGTGTTAGCAGTTCCTTTAGACCAGGGGTCCCCAACCTTGGCCACTTTATGACTTGCGGACTTCAAGTCCCAGAATTCCTCAGCCAGCATGTCCGCAAGTCATAAAATGGCCAAGGTTGGGGATCTCTGCTTTAGACAATATTTCCCTCCAACCACACTGGGTCATTCACAACATTTTAGCATTTGTTGGCCTAGGCACCAAAAACATACAATATGTAGATTATTATAGCAAGCGGCTATCTAATGTATTATACTTCTGAATTCGTAAATTAAACCACAACCACCCAACCAATTGTTGTCTCAATACTCAACATGGATTAGCACAAAACACCGTGCACAAAACACTGTGACACAGAGAGGTCACATAATACCCACTGGAATCAATATGCCTTCAGATACCATGCTTGGTTATCTATGAGGCTTTTTGTCCACAGGACTTTAAAAAAAAAAGTTAAGAGATTTAGAGAGTTAAACAGAAAATAAGAGAGTAAAATAGAAAGCTGGCATACCACTCTAGCATTATTGTTATGAAGTACTCTTTTGCATCATATAAAAATACTCTACTGAAGGAACTATTCAGCTTTTGAACCATGGATGTTTTGCAACTGGTCACGCCCACCCCATAACAGGCATTTAATGACTAGGCAATCTTCTGGTGGCAGCCATTTTTGTGAGTGTCCCCATTCCTTGCTCTCAACATGCTAAAATATGACCCCAACCCCCAAGCTGGACTACCTGTTCCAAGGAGAAAATGCCTCCATTAAACAGCAATGCCAGGAATTCAAATAAGCCTTGACTGCTAGTGTTAAGTTTAGTATGTTCCGGCACTTAGGAAAATTCTCATTGCAGAATGGAAGAGAAATAGCAGAGAAATCCTATGAAAAAACTGCTGGCATTTCAGATCAGAAAGACACTTAGGCCATCCCTTCTCCCTTGCATATTTCAGGGGTTCCAAGATACCGACTGCAAAAGACTTAAAGTCGTCTCTTTTCATTGCCATCTAGTGGTTGCTTTAATTTTTTTTGTTGGGGGAGGCATATTTGAATCAGTATAAACTCCTGGTGACCACCTAGATCAGGATTGAGGAACCTGGGCTCTTTTATGACTTGTGGACTTCAACTCCCAGAATTCCTGAGCCAGCTCAGGAATTCTGGGAGTTGAAGTCCACAAGTCATAAAAGAGCCCAAGTTCTCCACCCCTGACCTAGATTAATTCTCCTGGAGTTTTCTTGGCAAGATTTTGGNGCCATCCTACTTTGTGGATAAATCAGGACTAAAACTCCTGATATTCTGGTTTCTATATTGGTGCCTTAACCAGTACACCAAAATAGTTCTAGCCCTACATTTCAAACCATAAGAAACTTAGCAGTCAATTGTGTTTCAATTATTTCAAGAGTGGAATAGGCTGTTTCGTGTGCTTTGGAAGCGCTTCACATTCATAGAGCCTTTGGCACCAAAAGACCTGGCTTCTGAATGATGGACTGAGGAATGCTGCTAAAAAAAATGAACTGGGCTGAGAAAATTAATTATCTTTAATTAAAGTTAAATAGCACAGTCGGGCTGTCTACATAAAACATCCTGTTTCTATCACATTAAATGTTACTTGGCATTAAAATCTAAATTGGCCCTGCGCTTTTATTATCCTATCAAAATTATATACAGGTGTCTACTGTTATTATTCATTAGTTTATACACACTAAGGACAAGCCTACCTGCGATGTTTCATCATTCTCCATAGCTAAAGTCTGTTCCTCGTTATTTTTGGGAGCCACTGGATGTCCTGGCCTAGAAGAAAAAAAAAATATCCCTTAGTAACTCTCTCAAACTACCTGCAGTTGAAGAAGATCATTGATGGTGCTCTTTCTCTATAGCTCTTGCTTCCACTTCACATCCATTGCCATAGGCAACAGCTCATGTGTGGCTTTTCCCAAGCACCAGATGCAGAGAAAGGAAAGACATGATTGTGGGGTTACCTTGCAGCTGTGTGGGAGACCTGCTAAAGGAGAACAAGTGACAAGCTTATTATTGCACATCATACTTTTTTGCCATAACTTTTTAGTAGAATTTTCTTTTCTTTTTGGAAACTAAATAAATTGTTGAGAAGAAAGGCTGAGCAATATCAGAAATGGTTGAGGTTTGCACTCTAGACTGGAAAGAACAAAAATCCCAGAAGATAGCTACCAAGAAATATACATGGTGTGCCCATGTAATTCCCAGGGGGGGGGGTCAAACTCAGCTTAATCTTATGTTATTCCACATCTAGATGAGCTGTGCTTGGTTTTAACTGCATTTTAGGGTAGAAAAGATAACCCGACTTTCTCTGTTTTACCACCATGCAAGCATTGAGTTTACTTTATTTCTAGAACAATTTAATGTTTTTCTCATTGTTAAAAAGCAAATCTCAAAGAGCTGAGCTGCCAAGATGATAATAAAGACAATGGAAGCAATACTTTTATATTCTCAGAATATATCATATCAAGCAAGAGTATAATTGAATAAACCCTAATTGGGTTCATGAATAATGCTAAGGAAAAACAGCCCAGATTCTTAACCCAATTAACAAATCTTCCTATATAATATTAAGCCATAATGCAATTTGTTTTGACTTATATAAACCTGCAATTGTGCCTTGGAAATCCTGGTTTATAATTTAGCTTTGGGTGGGAATCTAGAAATTATGGCTTATTTTATAGGGTTAAATAAAACATGGCTTATCACAAGGCAGGAATCTAAGGAGTGATTCCCTTAATGAGTTGCAACCTTGCTTTCTGATTAAGCAACATTGCTTTTACATTTCCAAGGCTAAAATAGGGCTAATTGTTCTATATAGAAGTTATCTAAAATACATGTAGTCTTATGTGACACTAGAGGATAAAAATGTAATCTGGTAAAACTTAATGATAAAATGCAAACATGTAAAGTTGGTTTTTTTTAAAAAAAATAAAGTTTATTGAATAAATTAAAATTGATTTTACTAACCCATAAACTTAGGTATATATATTTCACAGGCTGAATTCACACAATACACTAACAAGCAGACTACATGATGGCTTATAAAAGTTCTATGAATTCACTCTTAGAAACTCTGGAGATAACAGAGAAAGTGGAACTAGCATTCCATGTTTACATAGCCAATATCATCCCTAATATTATACATGAGCACATACTTAACAATATAAATACAATTATTTAAAAAAAAAAACTTGGAAAAGACTTACATTTTCTTAGTAGGAAGTTTCAAGATGGTCTTCAGCTCTTCCCAGAAACTCTTGTAGGGTAAATTAGTCAGCTCCAGTTTCAGCTTATTTATTCATCAGGTGAAGACCAAGCCCTCCAATTGACAGAACAGAGGGCCAATGGGAACATTGCTTGCTCTCTCATAACCAATCAGTCAGCAAAGCAAGAATGTGAGAAGGTCTGACCTCTCCAGATAATGGCCTCAACTGAACAACTCATAATAAAAGCAATAGGGGTTGGGTTCATACATTGGTTTGAATTATAATGCAGTTTTTTTCGTTTGGGTTTAAAGTGTTATGTGAACCCAGTGTATAAAACATGGTCTGTAACAGCATGTTATATAGCCCAGATAGTAATGCTTGGTTTGAATAAGCCCTGCTTAAACTATGTCTCATCTGATGTAGTGACATCATATTTTCAGCCATGGTTTGTTTGGACATGGTTTGTTGAATATGTCACAATTAGTCTGTCCACATCTCAGGTAAATTATAAACCATGTTTTAGAAACCACAGTAGCTAATTTCACACAATGTGCTAAGCCAGATTCCAATAAAGTGAACAATGATTTAGTACAAGGGTCTTTGAACTCTGAGGTGGCTGGAACCACTTGGATGTTAAATACATGCTCTGGGTATGCCATGGTGGGCACCATCAGCACCAAACACTCATTAATGCAATAGTCATGTTTCCAAAGCTTGTTATTATTTTTATTTTCAAGATTATCCCCAGAGCCTGGAATTATTCTTGGAAATGAAGATTATGTTCAAGACCGAGCGTTGTTTTTTGGGATGCTAGCTTCCCAATTTTTAATAAAAGATTAAAAAATCCTTTCAAGATTAGTATTCGGTGTAAACCAATGCTTTGAGTAACAACATGATATTCCCATGATCTTGTGGCCTACCATACGAGGGCTGCAAAGTCTGCAGCAAAGAGAAGCAGACCACATGTGGGTTTAGTGATGTATACTAATCCAGATTCAACTTAGTTAACAGCAGCTTACTTTGAAAAAAATGGATTATTTTGGGGTCTAATCCCTTAAACACTTAGGCATCTGTCACAGATTTTTTTTGTCTTTGATTGGTGGAGTTGATTTTCTTAGTAGGTTTAAGCCAATGGAATAGAAAGGGGAAAATGTCCCTTCAGCAGTAGCACAGTATGTAAACATGACTAGACAAGAATCATTTTTCTTCTTGGTTTGAAAAAACCTGACTTGCTCTACCATTCTGTCTTGCATTGGCACCAACATCAGCAAGCAAAGTTTTTCAGACCAAGGAGAAAAATGATTATTGTCTAGTCATGTTTATATGCTACAGCTGAAGGTACATTTGCCGGGTCAGTGCTGTTTGTAATTGTGCAAGATTAAATCCTACTGAGTTCATTCACAGATCATATCACGTTTGCTCCATTTCACCTTTATTAGCCAGTTAGAGAAATGAGGAAGGAAGCAACCCAGAACTAATGCTGGCTAAAAGGGGAAACACAAGGAAGAAATAGAAGTTGAGTTTTCTGTTTTCTTAGTTGCTATGTTCATTTAGGATAAACTGACCAGGATTTCATGGCCTCCATAGCAACCATCGGTTTCTGGGTGATCTTGAGCCTGATGCATACAGTATATGCAGTCTCTGGCTAGACCTCATTTTTACCTCAGAGCACATGAGGCAAGATATGAAGATGGAAAATGTTGTGATAAGATTTTTGCTATGGTTAAATCACTTTCTGGTCAATATGTGGACTATGGCACACTTTTACAGAGTTAGAGAACCATTAAACGCTAATGCTATTGAGTGATCTAGCAGGCCCATTGCAACTTTTTAAACAGTGGCCTTGTTGAAAGTTACCTACATAGTTCTAGCAGAATAGGGAAACAATTCTTAAGTCAATGATGCCAGGTTTATGGAAGTCTTCGCTGAGGAAATTGCTTAGTTTTGCTCAGGTCGCATGCCACTTAGAGTGTCAGGCAACATCTCACACAGTCCTTTGAGTTAGTGATTGTTTTTTTCTTTTTTTTCTTTTGTAGTGTTTGAAAGGGGGGATAGAGTTCTCTGTGATATGAACTCTTCCAACTATAGACTGGTGCTATGTGTCAATTGGGTCCTTCAGGTGGGAAAAAGGGTGTGTGTCACCAGATTCAGAAGTTCTTGAATGTTTCTTTAATAGAGAGGCTGGTACATGCTGCCAGTAAGCACTCAAGTCCAATTCAAAATCCTAGTGTTAAGTTACTAAGCCCTACATGGAGTCTTGGTGGTGCAGTGGTTAGAATGCAGTATTGCAGGCTAATTCTGCCAACAGCCAGCAGTTTGATTCTCACGGGCTCAAGGTTGACTCAGCTTTCCATCCTTCTGAGGTCGGTAAAATGAGGATCCAGATTGTTGGGGACAATATGCTGACATTGTATACTGCCTAGAGAGTGCTGTAAACTTATATAAGTGCTGTTGTATTAAGGATGTTGTCCTCCTCATCTTTTCATCTTCTCATCTTACCTAATATCTTCACCTATTGGTATCTTATGATTTACCACTTGTTTGTATCTTATGATTTATGATTGTATCTTATGACTTATTATCTATGACTTACTACTTTGTTGTTTATATGTACACTGAGAGCTTATGCTCCAGAGACAAATTCCTTGTATGTCCAATCACACTTGGCCAATAAAGAAGTCTATGTTTTGCTATTGCTATTGCTATTTCTGCTTCTACCTTCAGGCCTATATTCTCCAACTATAATCGGCCAATCCTGTGTGACCATCCTGATAAGTGATGCTTAAGAAGCACCCCCCCCCCCGTAAGAAATTAAAGGGTAAATGGCAAACTTCTTATAAATGATCTTAACATCTTAGAATGGTCTTCTCCCAATATTGTCCATCCGCCTGGCTTACTCAAATGCTATAAAAATGGTCCTGTTTCAACAAGCATTCCAGTGTGGGACTAGACTTCATTTTGTAGGCAGTGGTGGGATTCAAATATGTGAACAACCGGTTTTCTGTGTGGATGCCACTTCTGGAAGTCCATTCTGGGCCTGGGCAACAAAACATTAGATACCGGTTCAGCCGAAGTGGTGCAAACCAGCTGAATCCCACCACTGTAGGGATTAGATTTATGGAGGGAGGAGATATTTGTCTTTAAATAAGTAAGAAGTTGGCTTTAATGGAGGGCTGAGGGACAATCTGATTGAGATGTGTTGTTCCTTTAAACCAGGGTGTCAAACTTGCAATGTCACATGATGTGTTGGGACATATCGCGACTTTTTTTGCGTTACTAGCAATGGACTGGGCACGGTTTTGCTATGATGCATCTGGCCGGTGGGCCGGCTTTAAACTGTCAGGATTGTGTGCGTGAGCAGTATGAACAGATTTTTGTAATAAGTAATCAAAGTATAGTTTATAGACCACACTCCCTGAGTTCATATACTAGCTTCAAACCAAAGCAAATGTTCAGTTCTCTATTTGCTTACATCAGATAAACAGAATCTTGCCAGATTAAACCTTTACTACTCTCAACTTAACAGACATAGTCTGGGAGAATGTAGGGAATGGTTATCCTTATTCTCTTCCTTTGTCTCCTACACAGTTAATTGAACTTTGCCCATTTTACAACCTTTCTTGCCACAATTATTAAGTGAATCAATGCAGTTGTTAAGTTGTCACACAGTTGTTAAGTGAATCTGGCTTCCCCATTGACTATGCTTGTCAGAAGGTCACAAAAGTGATCACATGACCCTGGGAGGCTGCAACTATCATAAATATATGCCAGTTGCCAAGCATCTGAATTTTTATCACATAGTCAGGAGGATGCTGCAACTGTTGTAAATGTGAAAAATGGACAAAAGTCACTTTTTTCAGTGCCATTGTAACTTCCAATGGTCATTAAATGAATAGTTGTAAGTCGAGGACTATCTGTACTTTGACTATCCCTCACTTCGGCCTTTGCTGGATTAGCAGTTGGATTAGTAGCTCTCATCAGAGCTTGTTAATAGCGGATTTCTACTCAAATAATTACAAGGTATCTTATTGTACACATATTTTTAAAGAAAATTATGGGTGCAGGCATTCGTAAGGCCAGAAAAGTCAAGATGAAGAGACAACTGCATGAGGTGATCCTACTTCTATCTCACATGTAACTGCACAATAAAAAGGGCCATGGTTTCCATTATGCAGTCATGGCTACCAACACTTGACTTTCATTACCTCTCTATGGATATCCCTGATTATGTATCAATTCCAAGTACTTGATTCATAGAGTAAATCTGATCACTTGCAACATGCAGGCAGCCTCATATTTGCAGCAATGAAATATATAAAGTAATCCCAGTCTGAGAGTAGGTCTGCAAAAAATCCAGAATCCATTAGATAGCATAGAGCAGGGGTGTCAAACTGCTGGCCTGCAAGCCAGATGCGTCACGCAGAAGCCGTGCCCACCCCAGATCCAGTAAGGGGGAAAAAGTCACTATACATCATGACACATCATGTGATGCGGCGAATTTGACACCCCTGGCATAGAGAGATGTGGAAAAGAACTAAGGCTTGCAGGATTCAATCTGGGTCGGTCACCGGGACCAGAGGCTTTGTCTTCTGAGCTTTTGGACTCATGTTGGAGCCTATCCTCAGTGAACTTCTAACAGAATGTGAGCTTTGGGCTATTCTCTGTGTAGTATTTACATAGTGCTTCTTGAATGTGGCTTTTTAGATGTTGATTAGGGTGTTGATTAAGCTATTAAGTCATTGGCTATTGTTTCCTTGTGTTGCCAAGACTTTGCTTCCTTTGATAAGCCGGTGGCAAATCAGCACTCCTGTTGGCTGACAAGGGGTGTGTTTCCTAGACTTCAATCACTTCCCTGGCTGTTTTTGTGCCTGCTCGTCTAACAATCTTAGTAACTGCAAAATTGAATTATGTCCTTGTTTATTGCAATATGAGGCTACCAATGAGTTTGGATCTCCTCATCTGACTGCTCGCTTGTGTTCTTGCAATCTGATGGTTAGCTTCCTCCCCATCTGTCCTACATAGTCATGGGGGCAATCCATGCAGGGGATCCGGTAGATTACATTGGAAGTATCTCCCACTTCCAAGCGATCTTTACAATGCATAGTTTGTCCTCGTATGGTAGCCTCTAGGCATTGCAGATCTCGGAAGCTGCGTTCTACTGTTTCCAAAATGTTTTTGATGTAAGGCTTTGTAGCTTTTCAGCCATCTAAAGCTCATCCAGATTTTTGTGGACCAGATCTGGCTGTCCAACATACTGTCAATGTATCCTCATACAATGCGATAGCTTTTATACTGTCAAACATTATCATTTCTTTTCTTTTTTTTCGAGAGAGATAGAATTGTCAGTGTTAAAGTCACCTAAACCAAGCAACAATCTTCTGGATGTTAGCTTACCCGGTTATGGTGTAGCTGTGAGAAGCTCAAATAAGTCAGACAGCAGCAAGATACAGAAATAAATAAATAAACCCTCCCATCCCTGTGTGGGAACAAAATGAATAAAAAGAGATAAGTAGCAGAGGCAGGGGAAAAAAAAATAAGCTAAGAACAATGTAAAATTCATCCCCAAAATTATACTGTCATAATTTTGAAGAAAAAAATGTAGTTCAATAGCTTATTTGGAAGATCTAGTTACAATCTTCATTGCATTTTGCTGTACACAGCTGTATAAAAGATATGAGTAAAGAGGAAGAAATTGCCGCTTGCAATTATGCCTGATTTCTTTTATTATTTTCACTCCCCAAGAAAAATTGATTCTCTGTATTTCTCTCCTGAGATTCCTTCAAGGTCTTTTGTTTCCCCTTTCTGTGTCCCCCCCCCGCCCCCGGCTTGGAAATCTAAAGTGGATGACTCACAGCTCCATGTAGGTTGAAGAATGAGCCTCAAAAAACAAAAATGTCTCAGCTAGTCTTGATAACGGCACTGATCAATACTTTTCTGGCTCAAAACATTATTGATCTGAGAGAAGCTCATGGGTCATTTTTAAAATGTAGAATTAATGTCAAAACCAATCCCAGACAAAGGTTTCAAGGAGCAGGTTTTCATATCAGGGCTGTGCTTTAGAATTAATGATGGCAATAATAGTCGCAACAGCTATGGCTACCTCTAAACAATACTGCTCATCTATTGAGTGTGGGAAAGAGTCTGCTAAGCATAAGTGGATAAATGGAATATTTGCACTTCCTCAGTCTCTAAATGTCACACACTTTTATTGGAGGACATAGAGTGTTATTTCTACACCACTGTTTTTTACCTTTTATGTCCACACAAAACTTTGGGAAATTCAAGAGGAATGGATTCAGCACTTACAATAACTTGCATGGGAAAGCGTAGGAGAAAGACAAACAGAGCCTGGGGGCGGAGTCAAGAGAGCAATCAGCCTGGAGTCATTACATTCTCAGAAAAGGTCTAAGTCCCACCCCTCTTGAATTCTGTTGACTTTTACCTAGCACCAATGCATTGCTGATCTCAGTTGACTAGATTCTTGGATATAGACATGAGCAATAAATCAGCTTAACTAGAATTCATTGTGTGGTCCTGATTTTTTGTGCCTGAAGCTATTAAGTGAACGAGGAGGAACCACCAATGAGAAGCTTC